ACGGTGCCGGCTTACTTCGACGAACGCCGCCGCAAGGCGACGCTGGAAGCGGGCCGGCTCGCCGGGATCGACGTCATCGACATCGTCAACGAGCCCGTCGCCGCGGCGTTGGCGGAGCTGCACCACGCCGGGCGGCTCAACGAGAGCATGATCGAGGCGACGCCATCGAACGTCGTCGTCTACGATCTCGGCGGCGGCACTTTCGACGTCTCGGTGCTGCGGGTCGAGGGGCCCGAGATCACGACGCTCGCGTCCGACGGCGACGTGCGGCTCGGCGGCCGCGACTTCGACCAGCGGATCGTCGACTATATCTCCGAGCGATTCCGCGACCGACACGGCCTCGACCCACGCAGCGATTTCACGCTGGTGCAGAGGCTGTGGCGGCTGTGTGAGCGGGCCAAGCACGAGTTGACCGCCGCCGAGACAACAAGCGTCAACTGCTCGCTCGCCGGCAAGGAGATGTCGATCGGGCTGTCGCGAGCCGGCTTCGTCGGCCTGATCGCGCCGCTGCTGGAGCGGACGCTCGCCACTTCGACCGATGCGCTCGAGCAGGCGGGCCTTACTTGGGACCGTGTCGATCAAATCTTGTTGGTTGGCGGTTCGTCGCGTATCCCGGCCGTCGCGCAGATGGTCGAGGCTGAGACGGGCATCAAGCCGACGCGGTCGCACGACCCCGACCTCGCCGTCGCCCGCGGCGCAGCGTTGTTCGCGGCGCTCGACCACGCGCCTTCGCTCTCACGGTTGACGGTTGTGAACGTCAACGCGCACAGCCTCGGCGTGGCGGGCGTCGATCCCCGGACGGGGATGGGAGTCAACCGCATTATCATCCAGCGCAACTCGCGCCTTCCCGCGGCGAAGCGGCAGAAGTTCGTCACCAAGAAGGCGGGACAGAAGACCATCAAGATCAACATCGTCGAAGGCGAAAACGAGAACCCCGACTACTGCGTGCCCGTCGGGGCGTGCGTGGCGACACTGTCGCCAAACTTGCCGGCGCAGACCGAGGTGATCGTCACTTGCCGACTGGGGACCAACGGCACGCTCAGCGTGTCGTGCCTGGTGCCCGCGACCGACGAGGGCGCGCATGTTGAGATCCGCCGCGACGGGCTCTTGGAACTCGAGTCGCTGGACGTCTGGAAGAATCGGCTGCTGGGCAGGAACCTCAACGATCAAGCGGACGAGAAGAGCGGCTCGGTCGCCGAGTTGCCCTATGCCCCGCCGGTTGATAAGGACGATGAAGAGGCGATGGTCCGACGAGTCGATTACCTCTGCCAATCCGCCGCGGACCTCTACTCGGGGGAGTCGGTGTCACAACGCGCCGGCGCCGCTCGTGATCAGTGGTTCGCGGCCGAGCAAGAGCACGGCGCGCTGGAGCAAATCCTGTCAGAGGTGCTCCGCGATCGACGACGAGAGACCGACCAGTCCGAACAAACGCGGCTTCAAGCCGCCGCCGCGGCGCTGCGGGTGCAGCTCCGCGAAGCGGAGAACCTGCTACGGTACTCGAAGGTGGCGTTCGGCGGCCTGTGCTTGGCGACGGAGAAGACGCTTCCCGACGCCGAAGAGATGGCGGATGAATTTTGTGACTTGCGGGCGGCGCTTGATGAATAACACTTGAGCCGTACGCGCAAGCGTCGGGCGGCGTCACGCAACGCGCTCTATCCGATCATCCCGGAGACGGAATGCGTACACGCCGGCGTCAAATCCGGGTGCCCACTTCAACTCATGGCGCTTACGCGTTCCGGCTCTCCTGTAGACGGAAGGTAAGCGTGTGCCGGTCGCGCCCGACGCTAGCGCGTGCGGCTTAAGTTGTGGTTACGGCAACAAGAACACCAACCCCGTCGCCGCCGCGCCCTCGAACACCAAGCCCCGCAAGCTCAGCGGGGGCTTCACGAGTTGGTGCGGGTTGCACGAACCGGGGCGGTAGCTGCCCAGTGTGTAGTTGCACTCGCAGGGTCCCTCGGCGCCGATCTTGTACGGCAACGCCGGAACGCAGACGAAGAAGTGCGCGGCGCTGATCGCCGACTGCGTGAGGTTGTCGCGCTGGCAAACGCCGACGTAGTGGCCGTAACGTTCGACGTTGGGTTGCTCGAAGTAGAGCGGGTTGGTGTAGACGGCGGGCGCCGCCCAACTAACCAACTGTGGATTGAAGCGTGACGGCGTCGAAGCCGCTTCGCGCGTCGGATCGTCCCACGATCCAAAGCGGTCAATCGACTCGTCCCGTATGGCGACGTCGGTCTTGAGCTTCGAGAGGTTGGCGACCAGTTCGGGATTGGCGGCCGCGTCGAGCGTGAGCATAACGATCGGGCGGTTGAGGCCTGTGCCTGCTGGCGGGGCCGGCTCGAGCGGCGTGAAGGCGCTGGGCGCCGGGACGACTTCTTGCGACTGAGTGACGGTTACGGCGGTCGCACCGTCGGTCGCCGTCGGCGCGGCGAGTTGAACGAAGAGGTCGTCGCCTGACGTTACGGCTGGCGGGGGCGTCGCGGCGGGAACGCTCGGCGCGACGGAGTCACTCTCGGCGTCGCTCGTTGAACCGTCATCGATGGCGCTGCAGGCGTTCACGTAAAGGTCGTCCGAGGCGGCCGGCTCGGAGGCGCTGCTCACTGGCGTGCAGAACGGGGCTAGCACGCCGAGCGGCGCTACCGCCATTGCGGCGACCCGGATGAGGGCTGAGTGACGGGCGTAACGCATGACAGGGCTCTTGGCGAACGGTACCCGAGCGGAAGGGACAACGGTCCTCTTCGAGGGAATCGGCCGGCGAGGGGCGCCGGGTTGTGGCAAACTGTTCAGGCCGTGCGGTTGGCGCCGTTTCAACGGGACGCCGACCCGGGAGTGAAACGCACTCAACGCTCGCGGCGTGCTGCTGTCGTTGCTACTGTTGCTGGTTATGGACGTCTACCACAAACTGCTGGGCATCCCGCCGAACGAGCAGCCGCCGACGCACTACCGGCTGCTGGCGGTCGAGCCCTTCGAGACCGACCGGGAGGTGATCGCGAACGCGGCCCGCGCGCGGTGTCAATTTGTGAAGAGCGTCAGTCTGACGATCCCCGAGCTGACCGAGCCGGTCCTCGACGCGATCATGACGGCGAAGCGCTGCCTGCTCGACCCCGTGCAACGCGCGGCGTACGACCGCGAATTGCTGGCGAAACAAACGGCGCCGAAGCTTGCAAGCGCCAGCCAAGCCGAAGCGCCATCCGGGATACGGCACGCCGTGCCGCTCGGCAGCGACGCCGAGGAAGCGGCGAAGTTCGAGACCGACTCGTGGATGCTGGCGCCGGCGCGCGTCGCCGAGCCGCCCAAGGGACGCGAGTGGGTTGTCGGCAGCGGTTCCCAAGCGGCGATCCGTGTGCTGGCGCCGTGGGTCTCCCGGCGGCACTGCCGGATTTGGGAGGACGCATCCGACGCTTGGATCGAGGACCTCGGCTCGACCAACGGCACGTTTGTGAACGAGGTCCCGATCGAGGGACCGACAAGACTGCAAGCCGCCGACTACGTCACGCTGGGCCGCAAGACCCGGCTGCCGTGGCCGCTGCCGCCCGAGTGCACAGGGCGTGACTTGCGGGTCTATTCGATCGGCCGCGCGCCCGATTGCGACTACGTGCTCGACGACAAATCGGTGTCGCAGCACCACGCGCAGCTACTCATCGAGGGGGAAGTCATCCTGCTCCAGGACCTTGACTCTCTGAACGGCACGCGCGTTGGCAGCCTGACCAATCGCATCAGCGCCTGCGAGTTGCCGGAGCACGTCTCGGTCTACTTCGGGGCCGCGAAGGTCTTCGCCCAGGCATTGATTCAGGCGGTCCGCAAACGCTGAGCTAGCACGGCGGCGTGTGGTTTCTCTTCAGCCACGCTTCCGGCGTGGTCGATAGGCTAACCGGCATCTCTGGCGCTACCGGCATGCGCTGCGCCCTTGATGCGTCCATTACGACCGCCGCGTAGCGATCCTCGGGGACGCTTCGATGACCACCTGCCACACCGCCACCGATCGCCTTCATTGGCGCCGCAGCGTGTCGTGCGTGCTGGTCGGTGTGATGGCGGCGTCGGGATGCCGCTCGGCGAAGAAAGAGCCGTGCACGTTCTACGATTCGGCCGCGGCGCAGGTCACGTACGAAGCGCCCGCCGCTACGGCGAGCCAACTGACCCTCGAGTCGCCCGTCGTCTGTACCGAGGACGACATCGACATGGCCGAGCCCAGCGCGCTCGACCCCAACGCGCCGATCGACTATCAGGACCTCACGCTCGAAGAAGCGATTCAGCACGCGCTGCAAAATACACGGGTGCTGCGCGACATGGGCGGCGTGATCACGACGCCCGACGCGCTGGTGGCGTCGGTCTATGACCCGGCGATGCAGTACTCCGACCCGCTCACCGGCGAAGAGGCGGCGCTATCGGCCTTCGATGCGACGTTCGCGGCCAACGCTTACTTCGAAAAGGTCGATCGTGAGTACAACAACACGTTCATCGGTCGAGGCGGCCAGTTGATCCAAGACCTGGGCAACGCCCGGGCGGAGCTGCGCAAGACGACCGCGACCGGCACGCAGGTGTTCATGCGGCACCTGCTGGAGTCGGACTTCAACAACAACGTCGGCAATCGCTTCGGCAGCCCGAGTCAGTCGTTCGGCGCGTTGCTCGAAGGTGAAATCCGCCAACCGCTATTGCAAGGCGCCGGCGTCCAGTTCAACCGCATCGCCGGACCAAACGGCCAGCCGGGTCAGCTGAACGGCGTGCTGCTCGCGCGGACACGGACGGATATCTCGCTCGCCCAGTTCGAGGCATCGGTGCGCGACCTCGTGTCGAACGTCGAGAACGCTTATTGGGACTTGTACTTCGCCTACCGCGACCTCGACGCCAAGAAACGGGCTCGCGATTTCGCGCTGGAGACCTACCAGAGTGTCGCGGTCCGGGCCGGTTATGGCGACGAAGAGGGGACCAACGAGAAGATCGGCCAGGCGCTCGAGCAGTATTGGCGTTACGAATCCGAGGTGCTCAACGCCCAGACCGGCCGGCCCGTCGAAGGGACCCGCACCGGTTGGGGCAGCAGCGGCGGCACGAGCCGTTCGCCCGTCGGCGTGCGGCTGGCGGAGCGGCGGCTGCGGCTGATCATCGGCATGCCGATCAATGGCGGCGCCGTGCTACGACCGAGCACCGAGCCCCTGGTGGCGCCGGTGTCGTTCGACTGGAACCGACTAGCGGGCACAGCGGTCGAGGCGCGTCCCGAGCTTCGCGCCCAGCGCTGGCGGATCAAGCAGCTGGAGATGGAACTGCTCGCCGGGCGCAACCTGCTCTTGCCCGACCTCGACGTCGTCGGGCGTTACCGCTGGCGTGGCTTCGGTGAAGACCTGATGTCGCAGTCGAATCAGCCGTTCTCAAGCGCGTACGGCGACCTCACCAGCGGCGACTACCAAGAGTGGCAACTCGGCGTCGAGATGGAGGTGCCGCTGGGCTTCCGCCGCGCCCACACGGCGGTGAGGAACGCCGAGCACTCACTAGCCCGATCGCGGGCGATCCTCAAAGAACAGAAGCGCGACGTCGTCTTCGGCCTCAGCAACGCCATCGCCGACGCCCAGCGCTCGTTTAGCGTCGTGCAGGCGCAGTACAACCGGTTCCAGGCCGCCGAGCGGCAGATCGAGGCGCTATCGAGGCTCGAGGAAGCGGGCGAGACGTCGGTGGACCTGAAGCTCGAAGCGCAGCGCCGCGTGCTCGACACCGAGATCCTCTACCACCAAGCGACGGTCGACTACATGCTCGCGCTGCGGAACGTCTACTACGAGACCGGCACGCTGCTCGACTACAACAATGTTTTCCTAGCGGAAGGCCCGTCGCCCGCTGGCGCCGTCAGGGACGCGATCGACTTGTCGCAACGCCGCACCAAGCCGCTGGATTACACGCGCCGTGACGCGGTGATCTCGGCGGGACCGGCGCTTTGAGCCGTAGGCGCTAGCCTCGGGCGGCGCTACGATCGATGTCGTGTACCGGTGGCGCCCGACGCTAGCGCGTT